GCCTGGCACTGCTCTTGCTGGCAGGGAGCTGCAGCCAGCCCCACTCAGCATCCGGGGTGTAACGAGTTCCTACCCACCCCGGGCTCTGCTGGGCTGTCAAAACATACACTTGGTAATTTAACAACCATCACCGCCCRGGACTTCTCTTCATCTCATGGCAGGCCCTCAAAACCATGAGAAATCTAAAAACAAAATAGCTATGCTGTCTGCCTCCCTTCAGGACTCAGCACACTCATCTGCCTCAACTCTGGTGAGAAACCTATTATATCAGCTGACAGCAATACACTTAGGGGTGAGAAGAAATGTATTTACTTACACAAAATTTGCTCCATTTTTCCCCTTTTCTAAAGCAGGAAAAGCATTACAGTGTACATAATGAAATGACATTTCTGGCAAATACTTTCAGTGAACACTTCAAAAGCCACCCTAATTTATATCCTTACAGTATCTTTAGAATATATATGTATTCCTATTTATGTYATTAAAAGACTAAACCACACCAGCAAACACATACCAAAGACAAATATATGCAAGCACACATGCATATCCAAATCAAAATGCTTCAGAAGTACACTGCCATTCTTACTAGATCAGGCACCATGGTGTGGAAAACGCAAAGATATCACAGCATTTCCCTGTGCTCAGAACACAAAATAAATTGAAATGTTTACATGTAAATACCATTTTGTATTATGATACTGCTGAAAGATCTCACTGAGGCCACAGGGCATGGAATCTTGCAGGGCAGTATGTAAAYACTGTGAAATAAGACACAAAGAAATTCTGATATTTCAAAGGCAATAGGACTTGTGGCTCAATGGGCCAGATTTTATGTCACACATAGAGGGAACATTTCACTTCGGTCTCCTCAGTGGCAGGCTGGGAATGCYGCAAGGAACTAATCCACTATCCTGTTGTCTCCCGCCACGATTCCCAGGGGCAGAGGGAACCCATTATCMCAGAAGACTACCTGAGCATAGCAGGCTAACACTGACTCTCTTGATGCTAATGSTTAGTTAATGAAATCCTACAAAGAGAGATGCTTGTGAAAGTAAGATGATGATGATGATGATGCCCAGTTTCCCTCAGGCCATCTACTAACCATAACACATTCAGTGAGGACTTGGAACCTCCGGAAAGATATCTAAGAGGTTGGATTTATTTTCATAGGGCATTACTATCAATAGTGATTCATTTTAATTTATTGCCTGGCAATAAATGTCTTGTGTGAGGCATAAAGGCATACACTGAAAATGTTCAATTGAAAAACAATTCCATTTGTGTCTCCTATTCAAGGTGCTTTTTTCCTCCAGTTCCTCATTCTCACTTACTAAGGCCATTTGCATGAAAATAAGATCTTGCTCATAAGAGCTCACCTGCTGCCTGCTGTTTAGGAGCTGTAAGCCTCCCTGTTGTTGGCTGTTGCAATCATTTCTACAGYAGTGATCTGGGATAACTCAAAGGATCAAGACTCTGCAAGAGGGGCACTATCCACAGCCTACTGAAGTCAATGAAACTCTTACCTATGACTCAAAAGAGTTTTTRTATGGTCTTTGACACCTGGTGTGCTGAGCCTTCACTAATAGCATGTGCTTTTAAAAGGCTTCTGCTTCCAGTATGCTGATGCTGCCCAAGATCCCTTTTTCATAATGTCCTGAATGACATCTTCTTTCAGAATCTTCATTAAAGCTTAAAGATCTGCATTTCAAAAGTTTTTCATCCCCACTTTAATTTTCTCTGGGTCTAGATAACTTCACCTTTTGGTCATTTTTCCCCGAGAGTTAAAACTTTAGACTGTATAATAAATGGATCATCAAATCAATGGAACCAGACCCAAGAGGTTAGGCTTTGACAGACCAAAGGAAAGAAAGAATTACTGTAGCCTCTTCCCATTCTTACTACCAGACAGAAGACACATAAAAATGCCATTTTGCATCAAAAGCCACAAAACTCATTCGAAATATTCACAACAAAGAACTCTGCTCCTTTCATCTGCTAGGATG